AATCATAAATATGTATGCACAAGATACAGGAGCAACAAATCATATAAGATAAATCTTAATGGTCATGAAATGTGTAATATCCAGTACCAAAATCTTAACATTGGACCTTAAGATCCTTGATCTGAAAAAGATAGGTCAAATAGACAAAAAATTGAGCTAAGATGTTGCAGAACTGAACCAAACCTTTGAACAAATGGATTTAGTGATCATATACAGAGTGCTCCACCCAACCACATCTGAATACACATTCTTTTCAGTTGCACATGGGACGTTTTATAAAATAGACCACATACTGGTTCATAGGTCATGCTTAAATACATGCAAGAAACAGAAATTATCCCATCCATATAATCTGACCACAGTGCAGTGAAACTGGAAATACATGACTAAAGAAAACACAAAACTCCCACAAATACACAGAAATTAAATAACACCCTCCTCAGCAACCAATGGGCTACAGATAAAATTAAACAGTATCTAGAATTCAATGAAAATTCAAACACAGTTTGTCAGAATTTGTGGGATGCAATGCAAACAGTTCTTAGAGTGAAATTCTTAGCTGTGAATTCACACATTAGGAAAACAGGATGGGAACAAATAAATACCTTAATGCTGAACCTCAAACATCTAGAAAAAGTAAAGCATACCAAACCAAAAGCCCAAAGAAGGGAAGAAATTATGAAGATTAGAGCAGAAATTAATGTAATTGAGAGAAAGAAAATAATAAAAGAATTAATAAGTCAGAAAGTTGGTTCTTGGAAAGATTAAATAAAATCGATATTCCTCTAGCTAATCTCATCAAAAAGAGGAAAGAAAAAAATCAGATTCAAGCAATAAGAAATGAAAAAGGTGAAATTACTACAGCTCTTGAGGAAATTTAGAAGGTCATCAATAGCTATTTTGAAAATCTTTATACTTGCAGAAGCAAGGACACAGAAGAAATAGACAGATTCCTTAAAGGTACAAATTACTCAAACTGAATCAAGAATATATAAGAATTCTTTTTTTTAGAAAAAAACTACAAGTTA